GTCTGATACACTAGGATTTTTATCAACGACTACAAAGACAATTTTTACAGATATGGACTATCATATATAAAAATACTAGTTTGATAATCAGGTAAATTGATTTCTCATACTAGTTCAATGGTTTTAACAAATCAGTTGACCAAAGAGAATATGATTATTCACTATATTTGAAGTGAAAACCATTCAACTTTATGGGATTTGAGAAAAAGGGAGAATCAATAATTGCTTAGTCACTTCTTATCAAATAGCTTTATGATTCGGGAATGAGACAGATCTATATAAAGTGAATGAAGAATAAAGGAAAACAATGGCAATCAAAAACAGAACAAAGAAAATGTATAGAATTATTATAATGAGAAAAGTAGAATAGTAAGGAACATTGTACAAAATCTGTTCCTCTATTTTTGCCATTTGCATAGGAATTAATATGGGAATATAATGGTCTAACTTTGCCTTTTTTTTTTTTACCTTACTGATGCAAATACAAAAGACAAATGAAAAATTTTGCTTTATCTCATAACTTCCTTCTCTAGTTTGAAAAACGGAGGAAATTAGCTTGCAAAAGAAAGTCCAGTAATATAACAATAAAAGCAAAATCATTTACAAACAAAAACAAAATATCTAGAGGAAAATATTTGGAAATCAGATTTGTTTATCTAATGTGGTGATGAAGAAACTAGTACACATTACTACAAGAATCTTTGTAATTCGGCTATGCTAGTAAAATATAATAAGGCTTAATGACACATTTTCCATGCGGGTGATTGTGTACAGCAGCAAGTAAATGAATAGAAATCAGCTTCAAATTCACTGGTATTCTATGCAATTTGAAGGGCATGGCAACTGTCTTCACAGATTCTATTTACACTCTGTATATATGTAAATATACTGGAATATATGCATGTAGAAATGAATGAGTACACTTGTACATCCATGTGTGACAAAAGTATGATAAAAGTGTGAATTTATGATCAAATGTTAAATAAATATTAAAATCAGATCCTTGGGTAATACAATTATCACCACATTTGCTTGCTGCGGCTGACCTGCATAAAATATGATTAAGAAAAAAAAAAAAAAAAAAATCATTGATTAGTGTAGAGAATTCCATCCTCCAAATCCTGTCTTGTCAACTCAAATGCATCTCAAAAACTTAAAAGTAAAAAAAAAAAAAAAACATACAAAGAAACAGAAGAACCACTGACCTACACTCTAAAGGTAAATAAGGAATACTATTACTATCTGCACAGCAAGTTTTTTTTAAATACTAATCAACAGGTATAATAAAGAAGTATCATCACAGTACAATAAAGCCACCTCAGTGAAACAATAAATGGAAAACAGAACTTAAATCACAATGCTGATTCAGTTCCATTTACGTATCTATCTTCAACTTTTCTTCGTCCCCAAATACGAGGAAATAAAACCATTTTCTGCTATCAGTGTTGCATCTATATCCTAATAACAGAGTTTCTCCACATGTTCATCAACAATAGGAAGCCCAACGCCAAGGATAGCCACAAAGGTCCCCCACGCAGGAGGAAAAGGTCAGGGAAAGGGAGGAAAACCGAGTCCATAATGAACCCCTCGCGTCAAGCAAATCGATTTTCGCCATATTGAGGGGCTGAAGGGGACGCACCTCTATCTCACCTGTTTTCCTCCCTTTCCAATAGTTAATTTCTCTTTCATTTACTCTCTGAACGTCCAGTTACACCTACCCGTATCTCCGATAATGATGTACTTAAATAAATAAGCGTAAGACATCTTGAAAGAGTGGGTTTAATGACACGACGGAGAAGACGATGCGATCAGCTGACAGCGACAGCTCGACTCCCGGGGAACGTCGACTTCCCTCATGAAAACAAAGTGCGTATTCTCGATTTTATTGCTTTTCGTAAATGTGTTATGCACTCTAGACTATTTATTTATATCAGTTTTATTTGTAGAAGTTATTGTAGAGCACCTATTATGGGAATCACTGGATATTTTCTTAAATAAGACAACATTTATCGCCAACCGTCGACTTCATTTCGTGAAACTCCCCACAAAAACAAAGTGCGTATGTGCATTTACGACCTAAAATAAGCCAAACGAGCAGTTAAAGATGTGAGCAAATATCCTCCAAAATAATGAAAACGACAAATCCTCTTTCTCTCAAAATACAAACCAACAAACACAACAACAAACAGTACGACTGCGAGGATTCTTCGTTTTCTATGAATAAGGCGAGTCCTCACTGTGGGGGTGACTCATCCATAATGACTCATGTGGGTGTGGGGACTCCGCGGGCTGGCATATCGAGTGCATTTGACAACTCAGTAACATCTAGTTGAACAAGTGAGGTTGGGCTTGATTTTTCAGGACGCTAATGTTCACACTTTATCCCTCAATAGAGAAAGTGGACGGTCCATATGGCCGACTAATTTATTCTGACATTTATTTATTCAAGGACTAATTACTCTTGGCATTTCGTCATTTTGACAAGTACTCATTCTGACAC